GCATAGAACTTTTAATAATAAAAAGTATTTTGCTTGCTTATCGATTGAAGAAGCAAATGTTAATACAATAGTGGGTAGTACAAAATTGATTGAAAGCTCTAAAAGAGCGAATATATCATTGCCATAAGGGACAATAATTACAATTTGTGATGCATTATTTTCATCCAAATCAACTAGAAATTTATTAATTTTCAAGTATATTCGGTCTAACGAATATCATGTTGAAACAAATAATGATGGTAATAAAGAGTATCTCAATATTACAAAAGTGATATCGGGTAAGAAAAGTCTTTTGGAAAAATTGTCCGCATTGTCTTCCAAATAGTGTTATACAAAGATTAAAATGATTGAATTACATACTATTGAAATAGAAAGTTTTAAAACAATTTCAAAGTTTTTCATAACCAGTTGGGCAATCTCGGATCAATTATGATGTGTAGAATAATTGAAACTTCAAGTGACCATTCCTTGAAAAACCAGAAGTTTTTTCAAGCTAATGAATTATCTTGCGTTGCATGCTCTCAGGAAAAATTAATTTCCCGTCCATCATCAAACAAAGTTAGGTATAAAAGTCATATTTTCTTAGAAAGAATTCAAAGGAGATATATGGACCAATTCATCCACCATGTGGACCATTTACACATTTTATGGTTTTAATTGATGTTTCCACTAGATGGTCACATGTGTGCTTATTATCTAGTCATAATATCGTTTTTGCAAAATTACTTGCACAAATAATCCGCCTACGAGCACATTTCTCTGATTACCCATCTAATAAAATTCGACTTGACAATGTTGGATAATTTTCATCACAAGCTTTTAATGATTATTGCATGTCGATTGGGATAATTATTGAACATCCTGTTGCACATGTTCATACGCAAAATGGTCTAGCTGGGTCGTTAATCAAACACCTTCAATTTATTGCAAGACCATTACTAATGCATTCTAAAATTCCTACATTGGCATGGGGACATCTTACATGCATTATTACTTATACGCATCAAACGAACGAGCTATCATAAGTTCTCCAATATTTAACTAATTTGCAGTCATGAACCAAATATTTCTCATTAAGGACATTCAGATGTGCAATTTATGTACCCATTAATAATGAACAAACTCAACAACCTCAACTTAGGATACCCTATATGCGGTATCATAAGTTTCATCAATTCATTATCTCATTCATTATTTGAGGTAAATATAGTAGATGATTATGTGTATCAGAAATTTAATGAGAGTAATATATCTCCCTGGTTTTATATGTTGATGATATATTTATTTCAAATTATTTTGAAATGAAAGATCTTGGGGATGCCTCTTTTGTTTTTTGGAATCCGGATTCAATGAGACAAATCTCATGGAATTCTAGGATTATCACATAAGAGCTAAAAGAGACCCTTGAAAAGTTTTGCATGCAAACTACAACCCAGGCGACACCCTTGTTGCTAAAAGAGACATATTTTGTCTCAATTAGTAGCCCAAATTAGACCTTAAAGTTATGGAGATATAGAAGATTATTTACGTTTTCTTTGTTGGGAATCTGATATGTTCTCCAATATATATATGTCCATATATTATAGTGATGTTGGGAAAATATCTAAGCCACCCATATATGTATCACTGGAAAGCATCCAAATGGGTTTTTTGATATCTATAGCGAACTAAAGGTTATATGCTCACATATAGAAGATCAGATATTTTGGAGATCATTTGTATTAGGAATATGATTTTATTAGATGCCAAAATGGTTATCGATCCATATCAGGATACTTTTACATGTTAGCATGATGAGCTATTTCATGGAATAGACTTTGGTAGCTTCTTCCATAATGGCAACATAATGTTTAGCATGCTATGAGGCATCAAATCATGGAATATGGTGGCGGAAAATTGTCACGAGGCTGCATATTATTGGTATTGAAAGACCACTAAGGTTGTGACAATAAGTTAGCAATATTATATTCCAGCAACAACAGAAGTTCTACTAAGTCAAATCATATTGACATGAAGTATCTGACTGTTAAAGAAAAAGTGCAAATGGACAAATATTTATATAATACATCAAGAAAAACTCCATGATAGCGGATCCGCTCACAAAGGGATTACCTTCCAAGGTCTTTCATGAGCATACTACACACATGGGTGTGATAATTTTTTTTAGTGTGAGTTTTATTGGTGTTTTATGTTCTGTTTAAGAATAGTTATGTTTTTTCTGTACATAATTAAGAATTTGGTTGATTCCATTATTAGTTGCACTTATTTGAAGTTTGATCTCACTTCAAGTTAAAGGGAAACTGATTGGAAATTTATTTTGATAATAAAACCACACATCATGTTTAATCTATGTTGTTAGTTATATATGTATATGTGACCATTGATGGGTTTATTTACGTAAATTGTAATGAAGATCTCTTTGATCCTATACTTATATGATTGGTGGACAAGATTGTTTAAGGGTACCAATACTATGATAACAGTTATTAAAGCGCTTATATGGTTATATGTATATTTATATATTTGTGGTCCAGTAGGAGATTGTTGGATAATTATGGGACCACTTCATATATATATATATATATATATATATATATATATATATATATATATATAATGTTATCATTAACTCTGATTATTATGGTAAGAATTTAATCAAAGCTTTTGGATGAATAACCAACTTACTAACGCATTAACCCTAGTTTTTTTATCTTTTATCTTTTAATCTTTTATCTTTATCATAATTACCCCTATATATATATATATATATATATATATATATATATATATATACACACACACACATCACATTATCTTTGTATATACCTCTTCCGGGTATATATCATCAAATGATATATATATATATATATATATATATGTGTGTGTGTGTATTTGATAATTATATTTATGATCTCATAATTATCTGATATATATATATATATATATATATATATATATATATTGTCATATATATACCCTAGTTATGGTTATTTTAACGGGATATTTGGGCAGCATAACAACTAAGTACAATGCATATCCTAAATCTTGTAATGCATAACTCCTAGGCACTTAAGGTTTTCTAAGGATTTGGTCATTATAACATCTAGGTAATACCTACTCCTAGATATTTGTGTAGCTCTTTTCCTAGAACTACAACTTTCTTTTAGGTTGCATCTTCTAATTTTAACTTTCATTTTTAACCCATATTTTTATATTTTATAAAAATTGTATCTCCTTCATACGACTTTCATTTCTTCCCTTCTTCCTTCCCAAGTTCTTATCTCATGCTTTTACTACAAATTTCCTTTTTGTAGTGTTAACCGAAACTCAATCATTCTCTTTTTGCTATTTTTGACGTCAATAACATTATTAACGTGGTTGATTTCTATTCGTCATAAAATCATAATTCTTCTAACCAGAGTTAGATTTTCTCGACGTTTATATTTTTGGGATCATTATGTCGCGTATTTTCCAAATACACTAACCATTTTAACTTTTTGATTACTTTATTTTCGACTCAACTTTCCATATTATCCTTCAATATGGGAAGTTTTTTTGTCATTATAAGTCGATCCTAACTCCTAGTAATAATTAATGACGGAAAATTCTCAGTTGTTACAGTTTAGATCTATATATTTTCGAGTTTAGATCAAATTGTTTGTTGTTTCCGCTACCATTTGTTTGATCTAATGAGGCTCAAAACCCATCACACATCACTACTCGACTACTCATCCCTTGGAACTCGTGACTTCCTGGATACGCATATGGGTCTTGTTCTTTCAGTAGTACAGAGCCATACTACCTTCCACACCTACCTGTATTTGTCTTGGATGATCGCCATGAAATTACTAGGCCACTAGGCCCAAAGCAACTAGGGTACGCATACACCCTCCTCTCATTCTCTCAAGAGTAACTACCAATTCCTTACTTCTGCTCGCACTCTAACAATCACACACCCAACTCATGAAACCTTCACTAACACTACGGTCTCCTTATGTATGCTAATCATACATAACACCAGATTCGATAGACAGACGAGTAATTGATTCTACCCTAAGCCTACAACTAAACAAGGAATAACAAATAAGGCTAAATCAAGCAATCTCATGCTATAAAATCTTAGTTATGTACAATCATGATGCATACACTTAACTACAACAATAATATCAGTTTCATATGGCATAACAAGAAATCCTATAGGCTATCACACATCATAAACCAGACAATTATATCATGCAATTCTTGAAGATTCCTAGCCTATGAACTAGCATGCAATTATAACACTTGAACATGTCACCAGTATACATCTAACAAGTGTGGGTATCGTGGGGAATAACTTTCTCTTGAGCTCCAGTTGATTGTACACATTGCATCCTCCTTTTTAGCTATTTAGAAATTATTTATAAAAAATATTTTGTAGGTCCATCGTTTAAGTCCGGAATCACACGAGTGTTTATCCAAATCCTTCAAACCAAAGCTTTGATACCAACTTATAACATCCCAAAAACCATAGTAAATTTTTTTTCATTTCCGAAAGACATTTCCATAAAAACCATAAACAGTGTAAGACGACGCCTGGTTCATGATTCAGGTATGGAGTCTCCGATTGCCTTCAATTAATCATGGAGGTTCTTGATTTTGTCACAATAGGCGGTGATGGTAAATCCACTTTGCTTAATGTTCTATAATTCACTTCATAATTCAGATTTTTTAGCAAATGTTTGTTGAGTGTATAGGGTTTCACGTTGCTTCCAAAGGTCTTCAGTTGTAGACACTCCAATAGAGATAGGAGAAATATAAGGACTTAGAGTGGCATTCAAGAAAGATTCGACATAGTTGTCTATTTTTCTACATTAGACAAACTCAGGAGTGTCTTTTGGTGGTGGAGTGTTTGTTCCATCAATTTAAGAGACTAACCCCATAGTCATGAGAATTGTTAATATTTGGTGTTCCATCCCAAATAATTTTCCCCCTTTAATTGAGTGGATATAAAATTTGTGATGGTAGAAAAAGAAAGAGGAGTTGCAAGATCACCGACCGTTGAAGAAGAAGATGCACTGATGGTTCCGAAACCAATTGTCATGGTTGAAAGAAAATGGTATGTACCTTGATTCTTGGATTTCTATTGTTGTATATGTAGTAGAAGATATCTTGATGTTCTGCTAGAAGACTTTAAATTCTGATTGGAATTCTTGATGAAGTAATTTTGATGTTCTTGATGAATTAATGTAGAACCTTCGATCTTTGAAAGTTGGATTGGAATTCAAAAAAGGAGACTGATGATATTTCTGTTGTAGGTTTGAAGGGAAAACTTTGTAGATGAATAGGAATCGATAATGTAAATATATATATATATATATATATATATATATATATATATATATATATATTTGGTGATCTTTTTGATGGGTAAAGGAAAAAAAAGATTATAGAAAGAGATTCTTTTGTTGTTAAGCAATGAGAAAATAAAGTTTATATAAAAAAGTGATAGATGGAGTTAATGCTCCGATACCATAAAGATAGGACTATAAACGAACTGAACATTCAACGAACTATTCGTGAACTGTTCTGTGGGAAGTTTGTTTATGTTCGTTTATTTAATAAATGAACGAACATGAACACAAATTCTCGTTCGTTTAACTAAATGAACAAACATGAACAATAGTCTTGTTCGTTCAATTATGTCCGTGAACATTCGTTTATGTTGTTCGTTTATGTTTGTTCATTTAAGTTCCTTTTATGTTTATATATGTTCAATTGTGTTTGATTACATTATTATTTTATATGTTCGTCTATGTTCATATATATTCAATTATGTTTATTTATCTACTTTCGTTTATGTTCGTTCGTTTCTGTTCGTTTAGCATGTTCACGAACATAAATAACGAACATGAACAATGTAATTTTTTAAACGAACGAACATAAACAAGAAAACATATTCGTTTTTTTGTTCGTGTTTGTTCATTTGTTCGGCTAACTTAAACGAACGAACATGAACAAGCCCTTGTTCGTGTTCGTTCGATTCGTATACAGCCCTACATAAAGATAAAGAGATTAAATAATCTTCATATCTTGAATGTTTTCTTTATATTGCTTTAGAATAAGAAGATACATAATATATTTATAGTGAAAACAAAATGAATCCTAAACTAAAACTAAAACCAAGAGTTTCCATAATCAAATACTGATAGTTAATTTTATCAAAGAACCCAACAAAGATTTGAATGCAAATGGAAAAATTTGCCTTCTAAATGGAAAAAGCCAAAAAGGTTATAACCAATTTTAAAGTTGAGTTTATTTTGAAAAATTAAACATTTTAGGTCTAAATTGAATATATATATATATATATATATATATATATATATTATATATATATATATCTCCTATCCTAATAAATAAGAGCTTTCTTGCCACGTGGCATACTCTAAGCCCATCCCAATCTATATTTCTCGCTCCACTCTTTAAAGTGAAATACCAACAATGCCCTTCTCCTTAGCCCTTATCATTATGTTACGATGTTACGATTACGATGTTTCTTCACATTCTTCTTAATTAATTCTCCCTTCATTTTACCTCTAATCCTTCTCCGATGTTTCTTCTTCTCCATTAAATCAAAATCAAAATTCCAACTCGTAACATGAATTCAGGTATATTACGTTTTCCCCTAATCTTCAATATCAATCATTTTCTTCCTCTCATTTTCTCCTGCTTCCAAACACCTTAATGGTGAAACCTTCAATATCAATCGTTTTCCTAATGTATTTAACAATCTCTATATTTATACTACATAGATTCCATCCAAGCCATTCGAAAATCAGTAATCGGCCCATTCCTTTTTTGGAAGGGCTTCAGGTTAATTTGTAGGTTTTTATGGTTCGATAAGATGTACAACGAGTGCCGATGTATTGATTTAAATCAAAATTCAAACTCTCCCAAATGAATTCAGCAGGTTATGTTTTCCCCTAATCTTCAATATCAATCATTTTCCTCTTCTCTTTTTCTCCTTTTCCAAAGACCTTAAGGGTGACACCTCCACCCACTGAATCAGGTATACTAGGGCTTTAATTGAATTGCGACCTTTATCACATTGTTCTTCCCAAACCCATTTTTCATCTTACATCTTTGTTGCAGGTAGGGTTTTAATTTGTTTAGACAACCTGTATGACTCCTCACCAATTCAATTGTGAAATGGTGCGCATAATGGTCTTGTGCTTGGAGATGCAGGGCTGGTAATTTACTTTTTCTTTCTACTTCCAATTTACACCCCAACTATTTGATACAATTCCCAAGTGAAAGTTGTGTTAAGAGTTTTGTAATTTTGTTTAAGAAATTAGGTCATCATTTACTATGTATTTGGGAATTCATTCTAATGTATAACATTTACGAAATTTTATTAGCACATCTATTCTTCAACATCCTTTATCACATTGTTTTCATCCATCTTATTCAAGAAAAACATAAAAATAAAAATAGTCAGGTTTTTTGATTTTATTTTTCATGGCTAAGCTTCAAGTCTCCACTTTTTTGGTAAGATCTTCTAAGTGTTGCTGTAATTCAAGCTTTTGTATCAGCCAAATACGTATGATATGTTGTCATTTAAAAAAAGGAAAAAAAATCATACACTAGATAATTGATATTCCCCTGTTTTATATCCCAAATTTTAAGCTACATAATGTGAATAATTGTTTCACTACATTAATGAACAGCCGGTCATTACTTGAAATGGGTACAAAAGACATAAATGCCCTTCAGCTCAGTCAATTAATTGGAAGGGAGACAGGTGGAATATCAGTTTACCCTTTCACATCATCAAAGCAAGGTTCAAAGAATTCTGTTAGCCATGTAATTGTTCGAGGAAAAGCCATGTCAGCAAACACAGAAGCTCTATTTAACCCGGTATGCCTATTTTCATGGAAGTTTTCCCATGCAAAAGACGTAAATACCCTCTTAAAAAGCTTGTCTAATCCATGATTGGTTATAACTATTCATTATTTGTAGATGACATGTGTTCTTCAAGAAGCTGAATTTACAAATTCAAAGCGTTTCAAACGGTTTGTCTCTGAAAGCAAAGCTAAATTAGAGCTATTTGTTGGAGCTGTAGACTATTTTAGTAATAATTTTTTATTTAGTGGTCTGGTTTTATAATTTTTTTTAAGAATCATTTAAGGGAAGGTGGTCATGGGCATGCAACTACAAGGATGAATGCAAAGTTAAACCATGCATGATGGATTGCTGAACAGATGGGTGGTATCAGGTTTTGTCTTTATGAATATAATCAAGATTTTTAACCATGAATAACCTAATTTCTACATAAAGGATAAACATGTTTATAAACAAAAGAATAGATACAGATAAATTGAGGGTTAGATGCAAGTAATAGCAACATTCTTTATATAGATTCATTTATAGGCGAGCTTGTAAAAAAGTTGATGTGGCACTGGTTTTTCCTGTTTTCGCCATGTCATCATCCATGAGTACAATTATATCGACATGGGTTAAAATATTTATCAGTTTTATAAAGATTCATTTAAGAACATTGTCTTTATTGTTAAAAAAAGTCAAGTAAGTTTCTGTAAATGGTTTCATTTTACACATTCAACTAATCAATAGTTCATGTAACTAAAATCAAATTGTTATGTCATGTTTATTTTTTTATTAATATTTATTTCACTTGCAGTTACCTAGAATTCTTGAAAGATCTTGAAGGGAAAATTGAAGAGAACTGGAGTGAAATTTCCATGTCCCGTGAAGAGATTCACCAAACACTCCTTGCAAAAAAGATTGCATTCTAAATCTCACTTCTGGTGGAAGAAAAGGTTGCATTCTTGAGTTTGCTTCAATTTGGCGTGGGATGGGGTCCATTGTGAACAGTGGTATTGATGTTCATAATTTTTTATAAAATTAATATAACATAATTAACAAATATACATATTAAATTATGATATGTTTAGGTATGTCTAACTTATTTTTAAAAATTTATAATGAAAATAATTGAAGGTAGTTCGATTAATTTATATTAAATATAATACACAATAAAAAGATAGGCCGATATTTCCAGTAAAATAAATTAAATAAGTAGTAAATATATTATGTGAATATTGTTATTATTGTTATTATATATTATATAAATTCAAATCCCTTTAAAATCGGCATCTAATATAAATATATTTGTTACTTTGTCAAATTTCCAACTTACTCTAACACAATTATAGGGATTACACAGATATTTATACCATACAATCAGGGATTTAATTTTTGAATTCCTTAATCAGTACCTTTTATATGGATTATAGATTTAAGTTGTCATTTACTTTTAAGTGCACGGTTTACGTTTCCAGAAAAATTTATCTCCATCCCTTCCCTTCATCGTGAACAACAAATAACATAACATCAAGGTTATTGGAGGTTAGTTTTTATTTACTCTATAATTTTGTATTATATTCATCTTTTTGCTTCTATCAGTTCATCTCCATTATCTGTATCTTTTTCTGCAATGACATCAACATTTGATTTTACAAAAATGTTGGCATCTACTTTATTCAGTAAGTCATAAGGTCCTATATAATCATCTTTTTCTGCAACTGCACATCTTTGTTCATCAATCATATTAATTTATTTATTTATAATTATGTATTGTATCTTTTTTATATTAATTTCACTACAGCCATGTTTTCTTTGTTTTGTATCAAATCAATTTTGATGTTTTTTTGGATTTTTTTTGTCATTACTCAAACGTATGTTGCATTATATAAAGTCATGACTTTTATTGAGACGATAAGTTATAAGGGAAAAAGTGGCGTTTTAGCCAACAAACGTTTTTTCTTCTCACTCGCTCCCTTGTGGTTGTCTCATCATCTCTGTATGTTCAACGAAGATCCTGCACCAAAAGTAAGGGTTTTAAAAATCTCCATTTGTAATTAAATACTTACCATTTACTGTGTAATTAAATACCTACAAATCACAAAGTTATTAAAAAATACAATATTACAATTCATATGTTTTCTAAATTAGTGAAATATTATTTTATTACATAATTAAATTTTAAATTCTATTTAAAATTAACACCCGTGGGTTCCACGGGTTTTAACCTAGTATATATATATATATATATATATATATATATATATATATAATGTGGGGTCTTTTAAGAAACAAAAATACTCAATTTAACTGTTTGTGACCTACTTGGGTCTGAAATAACAAGTAACGGGTAAAAGTCGGGTCTTTTTCGAAAAAGAAAAGTCAAAATATAAGGTCTTTTATGGAAATGACCCTAGAAAAAATAAGTATACCCCTCGATCCTCTTGCTTTTGAATTGACGAACCCCACGGATAAAATGGCTCAAAAAGCAATCTTGAGAAAAAAACCATTTTCACGTAAGATTCCATAAATGGACCAAAATACCCCTTAAAAATTATAGTGCACCAAAATTTTAAAACAACAAACCATCTCCTTTCCCCATGCCAACCATAGACTCGAAGCTTCACAGTCTTGAAAATACCTATCACAATTAAATGTAACCAGAAAAATACCATAATACCCTTTATTGTCAATTTCACTCCAAACAAGAGACATGGAAACCCAGTTCTTTCTTTCCTTATGTCTGTCATAATCTCGATCATTCATAGTGGCAAGAAAAGGCATGTCAAAAAGACCACAATGTCCTTTATTCTTATTCTCAGAACAGTTCATTCCTCCTCTGTTATCTTTTATTCCAAAAAAACGAAATCCCCATCCAATTGCAACCAACCCACCACAAGATTAACCAATTTTCATGCCAATATTTTATGTTCATCATCATGGAAAAAATTAATTTTTGCCATTTTCATTGGGAACTTACTTCTTATCTCATAATCAAATCCCACATACCCATTCTTAAACCCAATTAATTTAAGTCTGATGTCTTCAAATATGTTCAAAATCACCTTATTTTTTTTTTCCATTCTTTCCTTTCTTAAACAACCTATTGTTTCTCTCCTTCCAGATATGGTAAACAGTGGCTGCAAGAGCAAGTTTCTTAATAAAATTTCCAATGCCATTGCCTTTTAACAAAATATGCAGGTTTTCAATTAACTCATTCCATTTGCCTGTAAGATTATTGCATTCTGCATCTATTTTTTTCCTATTATGGCGTTGTACTTTGAAATTCTACCCAATTATAGCAATGTCATTGAAAAACAAAGCATTTCCTACTGCTATAATTGGGTAGATTTTTCAAAGTGTAAGAATTTTTTTTGAAAGCACAATGCTAGAATTAGGAATGTCTTCCAAAGTACAATGCCTTAATAGGAAAATTCTTACAATATAATGCTATAATATAATAGAAGGAAGTGAAAGAAGGATGCTATAACAAACAAATAAATGAAAATATGATGTTATTTATTGAATTTAGGTCTAAAACTTATGTTCTCATTTGGATAGCAACATTGCTAAGTCTGATCTTGTAAAATTTCTCCTCCTTTGGCTTAATTGTAGAGTTCTTGACAAAGTCAAGAATGTATTTTACATACTGAAGATAAGTATATTTTAGGTCAATTCCCATCTTAGGCAATTTACTTTCTTTTATAGCATACACACCAAAACACCAAATTTAATGTAAGAAACCTTCTCCAACCAAGACAATAGACTCAGTGTACCATTCTTAGTGAGAAATTTGTGATGATCTGGTAATATTAATGATATTTTTGTATTGATGAAAAACTTGAAGGCGTTTCAGTTTCACTTGAAAAAGCCACATAAGAAATGGGGTTAGTATAGTTATTGATCTATATCAGACGGAAGAATTTATGTTCACTCTTCCAAGTCAAGTTAAAAAAACTCTAGGGAATGTATATGTTAGGGGTATCTGTTGAATATATCTTTCAAAACAATTATTGCCTAACATATGCATATGGTAATTGGAAGTACTAGACCACGTTTTAATATCCAATAATATGAATTTGTCTCCTGCTGAATGCACTCAAGAAGGACAAGGATAGAGATAAAAGGGAAAAGAAATAATTACATGGACTTAAGTGCCATGTAGAGCATTTCAATCAATTGGTCCAATCTAGCTTAATGAGAGATACCCAATACAATTTGAAAGCCAATAAAAGAAGTGAACAACAATTGAATCAAACTTTTGTGATGATATTGAAGCACAATAAGTTGAAAGTTCTAAGATACTCACAAAACACTAAAACTATAATAGAAAGCATAAATTAGAGAAAACTAGAAAATTAACCTTCTTGTAGCAGGTGTCTGTGCTTGCCAAGGTGCAAGCAGAAGCTAGAAACTTGTCTCTCTTGCTCTTCTATCATTTCCAGTTATAGAATCCTTGCTAGCGATGACCAGAAGTGATTGGTTCGATCAAATTTGAGCTGAAAAATAAAACATAGTATAACTCGATCAATTCATAAAATAAATTGTATACCTAAAACGATGACATGGAGGTTGAGAGTAGAGAATCGGAGGTAAGATATTGAGAGCAGAGAATCGAGAGAGGAGATTATTCAATAGAGAGTGCGTCGACCGGTTTAGGGCTCAAATTCTTCTATATAATTGAGATGGAGAATAAGAACAGAGAATCGGCGTTGGTCGATCTTTGCCAGGAAGGGGATTGTTGAGAGATTTGAGGTGAGTCTGGGAAACGGAGACGTCAGGGTTAGAGTTTTTACTTTTGTTTCTTTTTTCTTTTCTTTTTTGCAAAATGGGTCTATTTTTAAAATCCTTTACAAAAATGGGATAGTTTTGACTTGGAAAAATGATTTATAAGGGTAAGTAAGTTTTAAAAATGATTTATAAGGGTAAGTAAGTTTAAAATTTATAAGGGAAAATGACTATTTATGGTAACTAGTTGTTGCGTTTGTTTTCATTTGGTCAATTTCCTTTTTTTGTACTCAATATACCATCGAACTTGTTGTTTATGTTCACCATAACCATTTTGACCGATTTTTGACTTGTGATAGCCGTTCAAAGGGTTATGGTGAACACAAACAACAACTTCGATGGTATATAGAGTACATAAAAAAGGAAATGGACCAAATGAGAACAAATGCAACAGTTGGTTACCCTCCTGGTTCATTTTCCTTTTACTCATTTACAGCAAATCCCACGTCATCTCCTACTGATATTAATGACTTTATGAAATTCATTTTTGCTTCTCTTCAAAACATAACCCACGAAATAACATTATTTATACATGTACAACTTTGTAATGCACTTGAATACTTATTATGGGAATCTTGACTAAGAAGGTGCATTTAATGACTACATTTACTTTTTAAATCAAATGATTTATCGTATCATGGATTCTAGACAAGTCTACAAACGAGTGGAATCACAAGTGCTGTGATTTTTTAGTAGTTTACATAGTTTTAAGATCGAATTCATGGGATAAGATACAACATCAATATGTACAATATCATGCAGCTTTTGCAGACACATCACCGTAATGTACCTTGTGGTAAACGTTTATGCTGATAAATATACCTCTCATACACAGTCATATCCTTTTGCAGAAAGGTGTTGACAGCTAACCACAGTAAGAATAGCATAGACCTTGTTTTAACGAAGTTACCCCTTCGAAACGCTTTTCATATACGTTATGGCCAAAGAAGGTTGCAGTCTTTGATAAATTTGCAACTTTAATTTCATTTAACTTTTCGGGGAAAATGACTCAAGAGGGTAACCAACTGTTGAGTTTGTTCGCATTTGGTCCCTTTCCTTTTTTTGTACTCAATATACCATCGAACTTGTTTGTGTTCACCACAATCCTTTGACCGGCTATCACAGGTCAAAAGCCGGTCAAAAG